ATTGATGGTTTTAATTAAGTGAATTGGCAAAGGTAGGTAGAAAACTGTATGTTGGAATGAAAGAATGAATAAACCAACAAACAAAAATGAAAGCAATAACCAATGGACAGGAAAATATAGGAAAAAAATTCAGGATCTAGGCAAATCACACAAGAAATAAGGGGTATGAAGGAATTGAAGAGACAGGGTAGAGAAAACATAGACTATTTGAGATACTGTGTGTGAAACAGGGCTCTGATTATTATTTTTTTTGGTCAGTGGATCATTCCTATTTTATGGTTCCTATGAAGAGAAACCTATCACAGTGAAATTTAGCCCAGATGGAGCAAGCAATTAAAGAAATCTGCCTGGAAAAAAGAAATCATCAAGAAACAGATAAAAAGCTACTTAAACATGGAAAAGGAAAGCTAATTTGAACCTGTGTCTGTTTTAGCCAGAATTGAAATATAGACCTGAAAATATATTAGAAAGTTCAATTAAGATTATTTAGAAATTAATGTCTAAAACTTATTTTAAAATAAGTTGTAGAATGCTTGTTTATTTAATTTATCCAGAAGCTCAAAAGCTAAAAGGATGCATGAATATGACTTTATCGAATTCATTCCATTGACAATGCTTAACAACTTATTTGTCAAACAAGTGGAGACTTTATTACAGCTCACTGAATTAAATTAAAAATCTCATTTAAATTCCATCTACATTTTGGCAGTGAACGTTCTAAAATTGTATACATACGTGCGTATTTAAATGCAGCCTATTGTCAAATCATGTGGAACATAATCAGAAATTGAAAGAGTCAATCATAAATTCTGTTTCTGACAATCTTTATAATATCCATTATATCACTTGGAATTTTAGTGTTTTGTTAAATGATTTATACTGAACAAGATTGGAGATTAGTATCTGTCATTTAGAAATACAATACCATTGTCATTTATGTGCATTCAGTCACCGTTAATTTTGCATTCATTTAACAATTTTTTTTAAATAACCAGTATGTGTAAGTAACTGTTCTAAGTGCCAGAGATACCAGAATGCATACTGACATTTTTTTTCCTTTTTTTATATTTTTAAGGAAAGGACAGATACATAAGTACATACTTGCAGAGAAAGGTGTTAATACTATAGGAGGTGGAAATGATTGCCTGTACCTGGAAAGGACAGGTAGAGACTCACTGAGATGGCCTCTCATAAAGATTTTAAAATGGAATCAGGCAAAATCACAGTCATTTAAGAGTTATTGTGATTTCTTGGAGCAGAGGATGCATGAGAAAGGGAGCAGAATAATAGAGAGATGGTATCAGGAAGGTAGGCCAGGTGCAAGTTTTGATGTTTCTGTGGACGATGTTGTAAGCTTTGTACTTTATCCTCTAATTCTATACATCTCAGATTAGAGCACTATCCCCTAGGAGTTGTGTATATAAGGCTTAGTGAAAATCACAAGAGTAATGGAAGCATCATCTTTGACTGTCAAGTTTCCACAGAGATTTGTGTTGTGCTCTAGAATGAAATGTATCTTAAGAAGGATAAAATATGATATAAAATTCAAGATTTGCACAGTTTAAAATTAAAGTGTCAAATTTGGATTAAAATAAATAAATGTCTTACTTGTAGGTATCTGCTCAAACCCGTCTAATGCCTACAATCATAACTTCCCTATCTTCATCAATTAAGACTGCTTAAAAAATGAGGTTTGGAAATTTGGATGAGAGGTGGGGAGAAATTGAAGACTGAGACTGCAAAATATTTAATCAGATTTTATCCTTCTTAAGATACATTTCATTCTAGAGCACAAAACTGTAGCTAGCATTCCATTTGATTGGAGGAACTTGGGGTCACACAAGTCAGGGACATATTTAGGAATTATAACTGGGGGAGAACACGATGATGTGTTTCATTTAGTGTGGAGATGAGACCCATGTTTCTCAGGCTTCACCAGAAAATGAGAAGAATGTCATTGTAAGAACATAAATTAATATTTTTCCCCTACTTTTTGGGAACTCCAGGGCTGTAGGAATCTTCACAAAGTGCTTTATTAGTCACAAGACTTTAATAAGACCAGACACCCGTAAGGTTTCCCTCAGTGTAACTAAAGTTTAGATACTTCCTGACTTTCTTCTCACTCCATGTCCTTTACAGAATTCCAATGGTTCAACCACAGAGTTCCTCCCCTCCTTTTTCTTAAAGCATTTACTTCGGACAAACTTGTAAATTCTTTCTCTGCGTTTTTGAGGTGTGCATCTTTTAAAAAGTCTCTTACCAATTCTGCACCCACAGCTATCTTTCTCAAGGAGCCATTCCCTTGAAATGCAATCATCAAGGAAGATACTGCCCCTGTCTCCCAGCCTCTGTGTGAGGATAGGAACCTAACATCGGCAGCCACCTTAATCCAAGTTGTAAAATGGCCTCCTGTCTTAAAGATTGAAAAAGTTTACTTTTCTTTTGGTAAGGCCAATTAGCAAACACATATAGCTTATTAGTATAGGCTCTAGTTCTCAAAAAAATCTCTCACCCTTTGTTACAGTGGAGTCAAGTTCAGAGTGAGTTCTGGCCTCTCCTCTATTACAGTAGCCTTGAATAAAGTTTTTCTTGCTTCTTTAACTTCATTTGGTTGAACTTTTGCTCTGACAATAGGCTCTTCAGTTTCCACAAAATTATATCACCCTTCCCTGGATGCTTGTGCAAGTTCAATTGTTTGCTGAAGGATAGAGTTTTTATTTTATAGTAAAAGCAACATACCAGTTATCCCAGTATATATTAATCAGTATAATTTAAAACTTACTTCCAGTCAATATTTATAAAAAATTAGACTAGGATAGAAAACACTTTGTAAGGGAGCTCTATATCTACCTGTGCCTCAGATATACTGTTATCTATTTCTAAATGTAGTTAAGAAGAAAAATGTTTTTACTAGTTTAAACTGTGGTGTGCCTAAAAACAGATTGTGTTGATGGAAACTTTAAGTAACAGCTGTATGAAACTCTATAGTATCATCTGCAAAGAAGTGTAGAAAACTTATCTACATCTTCTCTAAGAGGACCCTCTAGTGACATTTCTTTCTGGCCTTAGTACAAAGAGCAATTGTTCTTTTTTGTGAGTCAATAATGTGTTGTTATGTAAGGAGGAAATAATATTAACCGTATACCACTCTTTCTATATGGAGAACATGGAACACTTTCCAAATAATTCAATGAGGCCACTATTACCCAGAGAGCAAAGCCAGGCAAAGACATCACAAGAAAATACAAACCAGTATTTCTAACTACAAAGGGTGTTAGACATGACCTTCTTTGCCCCTGAAAGTAGAGGAAAATGGAATATAGGTTAACATTAATGATTTATTAACATTGATGATATTTACCACAAACTAAAACTCCTTTTACTTTTCTTTCCTCCTGATTGCTTCATCTGTAAAGTTGAAATATAAATATTTAATAATAATGACAAAGCAAATTGTAATACATATGAGTAATGGAGTTATTCATTGTGGGTATTAGAAATATACTCAGGGCATTTTAACAAAAAAAAAGTTATTTAATTTAGAGATTAAAAGAACATTACATGTAGGATCTGTCAAATCAACTAGAATCAGATTTGGAAAACTGAAATGCACAAGGGAAGCTACTGAGATGATCTGATATTGATATAATCACAATATCAGTATGGAAGCATACCACTGACACTGGATAACACTGAGGCGGTTGTCACTGGGGCCCCTGAAAATTTGTTTGGCTTTCCTGATGCTTTTTCCTGCCACCTTCAGAAAAAAAAAATGTATTCTCCATCCCTGTTTCTTTGCATCACCAGCTTCCTTTCAAATTCCCTGGTGGGCCATGATATTGACCAACTTTAGTTTGCATACCCGCATGAGGGGTACCTGAGACAGGAAAAAAATAGTAACTTGCATTTTCACCTTCTATATTGAGAGGCAATCTCTTAACTTTCACCAAAGAGTCAATAAGTAGTTAATTCTCCAGACACAAAAGTGAGTTCAGGTGATAGATAGTGCGAGTAAACAAAAGGCAAATTCCACTACATGTTTTTTTCATTGACAATTTTCCTGAAATCTTGTCATCGATTTTTCTTACAAAATGTCTCAAGAAATTTCTGAATATGAGGGTTAATTTAGTTTGCAGTTTTTGTTGGAGGAGGTCATTTAGAGGATGTGTCCTCCAGCTAGACTCAGGCAATCAGAGGCTCTTCACCCCCTCCTCTATCCTCTGAATGTACTTTTCACCCACCATTTCCACATTAGGAGGTGTTCAAAGACAAAGCTTTGAGAGAGTAAGGTTGGTTGAGACCCTCTGGGATGAATACCAGAACCCATTTATGGTCCTAGCGGGCAGGTGAGATAGTCTACTCCTTTTGTAGCTATTCAAGACAAATGTCCTGTGTAAGTTCCCTCACTTATTAAAGCCACCACCTACCAATCTGGAGTGGTCAGCCTCTTTCTTGAACCTCCCCTTGCCTTCCATGTATGGGGGATAATTTGTGAACCAACACTAATTCAACGAAGCAAGGGGCTGAGACATTTTTAAGTTTTCTTTTTGTTTGTAAAGAATTGTAGACAGGACCCAAATGGGTATCATAGAAAGAAAAGACATCAAAGAAAGTCAATTTGGTTAACACTGTGCAGTCACATTTACAATCAGGTATGTGTTTAATTTTAAGAAAATAATGGAACTTTGAATTTCTCTAAGATGAGAATAAAGCCACAGTTGCAGTCACATAAAAGCAAAAACAAAGAGTAAATATCTAATTGATAGCATTAGGCAATGTGTTGATTTTTTGCAGACAGCTGAAAATCTCATATATTCAGAACATAATCTTAGACTTAGTTGCAAGTTGCATCAGTGACACATTTGTAATGAAGTGAACCCTTTGCTTGTTTCTAAGTAATAACTGTGAGATTGAGGTAGACGAGTGCCCAAGTGACACCTGTGCAAATAGGAGCCCTTGTGTTGATGATCTTCACAGCACCTTCAGCTGCCTGTGTCACAATGGATTTCAAGGTAGACACACATGCTAACCAAACTATGAAAACTGAAAGATAATTTGAGGAGGAAGTAGCTCCTTATTTTTAGAAGATACATTTTTTTATAGACATGCATGCCAATTTTTTTTTCCAGGTGAGTATTTAAATATGTAACATCTGCTTGGATTGTTTTTACTACATCTTCACATCATCACAGAAATAGACATATTTAGTGTTTAATGAATATTTCTTTGGTAAACAAACTAGTGTTTTATTTTATTTTGTTTTAGATTTCTTAACTATAAGACTACTATAAGTCTACTACACTTATATTAAAACTTGTACTATTTATTTTTATACCACATTCCATTGTGTTACTGTGGCAACTTTTACAGTGGCCCTTGTCAAGACATATCACCGATTTTGATAAAGAGCTGGTAATGTTTTAAAATATGTAATGTTTTTACATTAGGAGGAAACTATAATAATAGGCAGACCTTAGTTTTCCAAGATTGAAAAAAGTAACAGGACTCTCAATCCTTTTCTTATATGCAAACAAACACGATCAAGCTGCCATCATTACAAGCCAAAATGTTACCCAAAGTCCAACTCCCAAACACTGTTCCTAAATCTACTTCTATGTGAATGATTGATTGAAAAATGAAAACACTGTGTTATCTTTAAGCAGTAAGAAAGTCAATTTGTGGGGTGTGTGTGTGTGTGTGTGTGTGTGTGTGTGTGTGTGTGTGTGTGAAAATCATGGATGGTATAGCTGTTTGGTTTTTTTTTTTCCCTACTAACCCTAAAAAACTAGTTTTATATTAAAACTTCTTTAGAATGATCATCTTCAGAAAATATGTGGTCACTATAAAAACTTAATACATTGTTTATCATCAACAAAAACTCACTTATTTCTTAGCATTGTATGATAGAGAGCAAAAACAAGGTCTTCTGGGGAGTTGGATTTAGATACATCCCCATATACAAAGAAAACAACAAACTTTTAAATGTACCATTTTTTTCTCACAAAGATGATCCATAAGGAAAATTACTAAATAAATATCTTAAGGTTTCAACAAAGTATTTATATACTCACAGTATTATTTTTAATTGTCACTTTCTTCTTAATTTAATTTGATGTTCTAATATCATATTTTCACTTAATATTTTATTTTGTCAAGGATAATAGTATACAAATAGATTTTCTCTTTAGTTAGGTATGTTACATTAATTTTTGTCTAGCCAAGATTCATTTCCCCACTTTAGAGAAAAAAAAACTATTAAGATTTCTATTTATCTAATTTGAAAGTACAATATGTTATGTGTCAATGTCAGTTTTTCTATCCTTGTTAAAAATTGGCAAAAACAATCCTGTCATAAGTCTTAAGAATCAATTTAGTGTCAGTTTAGGTTATGTTTTCAACTCTTTGCAAATTAACAAAAAATCCAAGTGACATAACATGAAAGATTAGTTTTAGCAACAAAAATTATAGTTGGAACCTTAATGGAAAATCTGCACTACAGAACTCGTTAAAAGAAAATGTTAAGACTATATAGTTGACAGACAATTCAGTTTGCCTTTTTTTTTCCTCACAGGCCTGCTTTGTGAAGTTAATGGAAAGGAATTTGATTCATCACCCAGCCTCTGTAACAGAACATCCACAGAGCTCATGGATAAATTCAAATGGATCTGTCCCCATGGCTGTATGGGCAAGTAACATTTGACAATTGTGCCTTGTAGAGAACATTTAGCCCTGGGGACATGCATCAGGAAATTATTGATTTACTAGTATATCCTTTTTGTTCCTTTTTTATTTTCTGTAGCCTAACATTTGATTTGCATCCCAATAACTTGAAACATCTGTTCCATCTCTCGACTCCAAAGCAGAAGATAAATTAGTTCACATCGAAGCAGACTTTGAATGCCTACCAATTCAAAGAAGATTAGTCTGCAGGTAGTATTTCCAGGAGAAGTTGTTACAGTTGATAGTCAGGTGAAATCAATGGGTTCTGACACTCAGATATGTGGTATTCTTATCTGATAAGTTTAGTCTCAGCAAACTCCCCAAATGGACGAAAATGTGTGAGCAAATTTTAGAATTATAACCTGCTTTTTGCTTTCCTGTTAAAATGTAGGATCTTTTTTTTAAATTATTTTTTAAAGGTACCAAATGTGAAATAGATGCAGATGAGTGCGCTTCACATCCCTGTAAGAACGGAGCTGCCTGCACTGACCAACCCGGTAATTACTTCTGCCAATGCGTGGCTCCATTTAAAGGTAATGAACACCAAGGGGGAAGGAAAAGCAAACATAATTCACTTTAAAAAGCATTTCTGTCACTTGTCTGAACTCATTTCTGTCTTCAAACAACATTATTAGTCCTTCATTTTCTTAAAGGCTGCTTCTAAAATGACCAACCAATTATCCCTGAGGCAGAAACTACAGTGAAATAACCATTATTGGCACATCCACTAAAATAGTGCATCTCATTTTTTATTAAAAGGCCACCAATGCAACCAAATGATACAATGAAAAATACAGTAAGAAATATATTAGCAGCCTATTATGTTATATTTGAAATGTTTTTTTATTCAGTTTCTCATGAAATTGTTAAGGATTTCTTAATTTTTTTCTTCCTAATATAATCATTTATTTAAGTTTTGAAAGTTGCTATATTGGGTTTAACATATAGTAGCCATTAAAAGATACTTTTTGTTTTCAACTTTAATGGTACCTCTTTAGCTTCAGTAAAAGAATTATAATGTTTTTTTCAAAAGCTAATACATTTAAGGTTTGCCTTATAAAATATATATTTTCATAAATTACTGTGTAAACTAATATATAGAAAGTAAATTACTGGATACTTCCTTGAACTCTAGTATCTTTTCTAAGCAATGGAATTTAGCCAGGATTCTTCAGAGACACATGAACCAATGAGAGATTAGATAGACAAATGACAGATGATGATGGATAAATAGATAGATATAGGTAGATATATAGATAGATAGATGATAGATAGATAACTACATATATTTATGGAGATTCTTTATGAGGAATTGGTTCCCATGATTATAGAGGCTTTGAAGTTCTGGCATCTGCCACGTGCAAGCTGGAAATTTAGGAATGGCAGTGGTGTAATTTCAATCTGAGGCTAAAGGCCTGAGGACCAGGGGAAGCCAATTGTGGAAACCCCATTTCGAGGACAGAAGAAAACCAATGCTCCAGAGCAAGTAGGCAGACAAGAAGAAAACAAATTCTCCTTTCTTTCACTTTTTATTCTAGTAAGACCCTCAAATTTAAATGATGCCCAAGAATATTGGAAAAAGCAAGCTACATCACTGAGTCCACTGATTTAAGCACTAACTCATCTAATACTAATTAATCTCAAATACTAATCTGTGAAGAAAACAACTTCACAGACACATTCAGAAAGAAGGTTCAATCTGCTCACCCAGTGGTCCAGTCAAGTTGACTAAGAAAATTAACCATCATACTTTGAATCTAAATCTCATCAATTTGGATATTTTTAAATGCTGTACCTAATTTTCTTAAAAACTATTTTCTTATAATTATTAATTAAAGGTATAAGATTACATATTTAACTTCAAATATTTTGCATCTATTTAAACTCATTAAATTATAGTTTTCCTATTGATTCAATGAAAATGAAAATAAAACTCACTGAGTTGAATGTAGATTAAATGAGATAGGTCATATAAATACCACATTACCTGACAGAAATAAATAACCATCAAGTATGTAATTGTAATTTTAAATAATTTTCTAACATATATAGTAAAATCCATACAATAGACAATATTTTATAATGTTTGGGTAGGTGGAATGTTAACACAAAATTTACTTAATTATACATATGTAAAGATTATATATAAAGAATAGCCTAAGCTATCAATAAATATAAAAAATAGATTTTATTTTAAAAATAACAAAGTTTGCCTGTTGCCTAAATCTTTTTTTCTCATGCCATTCTCCAATAAAAGCAACGAGACCTCCTTCGAGATTATCTGATTGTAAGGCTAGCATGCAGAATGTACAAATGAGTGTGACCAATTTTGTAATACCATAAACTGAAAAACAAGGAATTACTCGAGTGTAACTACGAGAGTATGTCAAAGAGACACAAGAGCCAACCGAAGGTATTCCCAATGACTTAGGCTAGAATAATTTGAACAAGAAAATAATTATTATGCAAAATATTAAAAAGTCCATTTCATACTGATAAAAATAAACAATTGAATAAATAAATAGTTAGGAATAATAGACACATCTTGTGTACAGAATAATTTCAAATAATTTAGGTTGATATTTAGTATAACTCTCCAACCCCTAAGTTTCAGATACACATAGTACCTGACTTGGAAAGAGTACAGTATGGAAATGGGGGTTGGGGGAGAATAAATTTATGAGTTTTTATTAAAAATTTAAAAACTATGTATAGTTACTGTTTACCACATTTGTGAATTTGTAAGGTATAGTGCTTTGAGTATTTTAAGAATATACCCTCGTTCAAACATTTTGTTAATTGGGGAGGTTTTATTTAATTCCTAGTTATAACTTATTACAACATACACCAGAGAAAGGAATTTATATAGTCCATTTATGGGGACAATAGAAAATAATTAGAAAAAATCTTTATATAATTACTTCTGCAGAGCTGAATAATGCAGTCTTTTTATGCATGTTTGTTTCTAGCATTATAATTACAGATCCTCCACAAACAGCATAGGTTTTACACATAATTTTATTAATGCTATATATCTCTTTTGAAATCTGTAGAATCCTGTTTTTTGGTGTTTTTTTTTAAAGAACAAATAAATAGGAAAAATAAATTCCTCAATACAATTATTTTGCCATGTGGTATTCATCCACTGGAGTTAGCAAGTAGTTACCTTTTATTTCATCTAAGCTCCTTTCCAAGTTCTAGTCTTAGAAACTGAACCTAACAAGTAAACATAAAAAATGCATTTTCTCCTGAAGGAAAAGGCATTCTTATTTTGTTGTTGTTGTTTACTATGGAGTGAAATTTTCTTCAGAAGTGAACAGAGAATTTTGATAAATACAAATGGGTTTCCTCCTTTCCTGATAAATGATTTTATGACTATTATGCTTTCTTTGAAGAAAACCTAATGCATTTCATGTAAGAAATCCAGATATGGATGACATATAATTTTCTATTTTAATTGAAACACTAAGACATGAAAGTCAGTCATTCCAATAAGCATTATTGTCATTAACCAGTCTCTATTTGGGGGCAAGCTGTGCTTACTGGGGCACCCTATACTAAAGCTCTCTATGTCCAACACTTCCAAAAGAGTATTCATTAATATTAATTTATCTTGCTATGTAAAATGTACTAATAGAGATTTTTAGGTTTGTACATATGGTGGAAATGATAATCAATAATGCCTCCACGTGCAAATTTGTCTTCTAATTTTGAAATGAAAATTATTACTTGTTCAGACACATACACACCCATGCATATACACATCTGGGATTAAGTGTATGTACTTATCTTTCCTCCCAGAATTAAATGTGATTGTGTACGAAAGGTGAACTTTCCATCATGCACTTACAGGGTGGAAAGTTCGTGAACTTAATTGTCTCACCTATGTGGGCATACTTAACAAATGCTAGTTATTACTCTTTGTTTAAAAAATATAATCAGTGACACCTAGTAATTCAGCCCTTTTTCAATCAGCAATTTTAAATTCTAAACATAATGTCCATGAAATATAATGGAATAAAGAAAATGTGAAGATGATGACTTCATATAAAGAAAATGTTGCTCCTGACAGACATAGTCAGTGCTTCCTTTACCAGTTAAGCAGTTAAAGAAGCAAAGTCCATTTCAGAACTTGATGTGTTTTCTTAGTAGATGAAGATGACTGCAACTCTCAAATTGCCTGTTACACACTAGTGATATTTTGATATAAATTTCATGTGATTTTCTATAGAAAACTATGACTGAACAGTCCAAAATTTTAAGTATATATTTACTAGTAACTAAATAATCTGTTGATGAGTTTATAATTCACGAAATGGACCATTTGCATATTGAATTTCATTAAATAAAGGAATCCTGGGGAACAATTTGTTGCACAAAACATTATTAAAACAATAGTCTATATTTCTATCATATTTTGATAGTGAAAAATAAGTTGTTACCCTTTTCTTCTAAAATATAAAAGTTTCCCATACCTAATAAAAAGAAAACAGGGCTTTGATGTAAATTACTGTTTGGTTCTCAAGAAAATAAGTGCCTAAACTAATAATAATGACATTTTAAGAAGGCTATATATGTGCAAGTAGAATAGAAATATTGTTTAAGCAAATGCCTTATCTGCCAAAGCTTTAATGACACACATCCCTAAATGTATAGCCATTAAGATAAAAAAGGAGAAATGGTAATTATCCATTAAACATGTTTGCCAAAGAAAGTAAACAAAGAGGCAAGTAAACTCAGCAAAATAAAAATGCTTAAGTGTGTTGAAAGCCAGAATAATAATGCTGGTTTTTGGTGAGGACACTCTGTATGGGAACTTGTAATTAGAAAGCATATTTAAGTGCATATTTTTAAGTGCCTGTGAAATGCAAAAGACTAGAGTACGAATAATGCAGCCATTAGTTGTTCAGCTTTTACAGGCCATCCCTCACACATTCTTGTGTTGAGCTGCAAGGGAGAACCGCAGATGCTATAATCAAATGCTCCAGTCCAGTCAACCTACAGCTCTCCTAATCATTGCTTGAGGACAAAATATCCTGGCTAGACTTCATAGCTAACTTCCCTAACATTGAAAAACAACTTAAAGTCAACTACATATTCATTTAGTATGTTAACAAAAATTCGATTTGATTTAATCATTTTAATGAAAATAATAATATGAGTATTATTTTGGGGAGCTCAAATAAATTGGATGAACTGTAAAGTTCTGAGTTCATAATAAAAGTCCAAAAGAAAAACAAAACAAAACAGTTATTTAATAGTGATTGTTGATGATCCTGTCTCATATTTCTTCTGTGATGCAATTAAAGCAGGAAGCAAGTAATACATACTGGTTTGACAGGCAGTATCCTGTTCAACTTCTTGGTGATTCAGTCATTATCTTTAGTTCCATATAAACACTTAGATGAGGACATTTAGACAAGAATAAAGGGAACCTGAGTAGAGGATAAGTATATGTCTTTGTACTATTTACAAAAATAATTAAGTATTTTTGCTTCTATTAATCTCTTCATTTTCATAATGCACATATTTT